CCGGGCGGGGCTCGATGCCAGGCGAGGCCTGAGGACTGGAACATATGCTAATGATTATGATTTCTATATGTGCTAGCATGATTATATGATATTCATTGTGTGTGTATAGCGGGCGAGGCCCAATGATAGGCGAGGACTAAGGATAAAATATTTGTATACCGAGCGGGGCTCGATGTCGGGCGGGCCCTGATGCCGGGCAAGGCCCGAGGTCGGGCGGGGGCCTAGTATGTGATTTATTGTGTATGGTATGGGGTAGTTTGGGGAACTCACTAAGTTTTGTGCTTACTATTTTTAGTTTATGTTTTAAGTACTTCCGGTTGCAAAGGGAAGAGCTCGGGCTGACTGCATCGCACACACCATTGGGATTCCGCACATAATGTTTTACTCTGATTTTATGACGACTGATATATTGGTTTTTATTTGAAATGTTTGGATGATATTGGAAATACTATTTTATCTACTATTAAAAATTAAATTTTTGGGACCATATTTTGGGATGTTACAACATGTCAACCTAAAGCCCAATATGGCTCAATCTCCTAAATTGGGCCGAAACCCCATCATGGGCTTAAATCCAACGAAGCCCAAAATACTAGACTAAAGCCCAAAATAGAAGTTTAATGGCCCATCAAGGCCCATTCATAAAATTCGAAAGCATGGCCCATAAACCATGAACGCCAAGACCGTGCGACCCTCTACTGAGTACTCAGCTATTACACCTAAGGTACGACTCAGCCTCCCATGCTTCTTGATTAAGCCCTTAATTGTTAACAACTTTTTGTCAAACTCTCAAATTTGGTCCCTAAGTGTGACTTAATACATAAAGTTAGAAACTTTTCACCCTTGCATGGCTTAATGGGACTGAACACTAAAAAAAAAATTAATAAAGCTCTTAACACTTGCATGAACAAAAATCTTTCACAAAATTTTCATTTTTATGAACAATGGGCCTCTATGGAACTAAGATCTAACATACATTGCTTCTAGAGTAGATCAAAAACTTAACTTTAACTAAAAGGACTCAAAATACCTAAATATTACCATAAAGTAGATCTAGCACAAATGACCATCAAGATGAGAGCTTTTTACCTCAAAGGATTGCAAATGTGAAGGTAACTCTATATCTACAAGCTCAAGCTATTCCTCCACGTGTTCCTCTTCTTTTTCTTCTCCACAAAACACCGACAAGCTCACTTTCAAGCTCAAATCTCACCAAATGCACCTAAGGTTTCGTTTTATGGGTATAGGGAGATGGAGGTTCGTCAATAAATGTCCAGGAAGTGGTCTAAGTTGTCTAAATATTGTGCAAACCCTACAAATTAGGGTTTGCCCAAACCGTGCGTACTCCCAACATACTTCCACGTATGGCCAATGTACATGGGTGAAGTCCGCAATCAGCAAAGAGCAAGTACGCTAAGCGTACTCATAGAGTACACCCCGCATACTAGCCAAGGACCAAAAATGAAAGGAAATTTTGCAATAAGGTGTAAAATGGAACTTACCATAATACGAATGTTACAGTCATTTAGCATTAAACAAATAGACAAAATAAACGAAACTTCCAGCTAATGCTTCCACCACTTTTGTTGATTGTTTCTCTCTTAACATGTCCAGTTATAAGAAGATCCAATCATGTTTAACAAAAGGGAAAGCAACTCAAAAGAATCATTAATGTGGGAGTGATTCTTTGCAACACACACAAGTGCTAACTATAACTGATGAGCAAAACATTGAATAAAATGTGCGGATTCCACTTCTTTCATTATCAAGGTCTTCAAGCTATTAAATGCACCTCTCATGTTACTAGCTCCATCATAACCTTTTCCTCGGATCATATGTGGACTTAATCCACATTCTGACAAAAACGAATAAATTGTCTTTTCAAGTGACAAGGCTGAAGTGTCACTAACATGTTTTCTGCCAATAAATCTCTCCATAACACCCCCTTGACTATTCACGAACCGCAAAACTAAAATAGCGAAAAAAAGTCATCTCCAATATCTTTCATGATAACTTTGATAGTTTCCTTTGCCGCTGCATGTACTATGTCTTCTTGAATAGAGCTACTTTTCATTTGTAAATTTTATTGATGCATTCTTTAAAATAATATCATTTCATTCGGCATAGAATTGAAGAAGCTCTAGAAAATTACCTTTATTAATCGAGTCTTCCCTTTCATAATGACCCCTAAAAGATAATCCTTGTCGCGATAAGAATCTGACACAATCAATAGAAACATTTAATTTGATACGGTGATCATTTTTCATAAAATTGTTTTGCTTATCAAAAGCAGTGGCTATGGATTATTTTTGTTTCATCAACTTTTGACACTTTTTGACTGCGATATTATGTACACTTCCATTATTATGAAGATCCAAACTCAATATTTTGTTCCAAGTATTAAATCCATTTTTCGAAAAATAATCAGAACCTCCTTGGTTTTTAATCTTCGATTTCAATAGATAACATCAAAAACAAAATGCAGCCTCTAGCTTTATACTATACTCCATCCAATATTTATAAGCATCAAATCAAGAGGGATTAAATCTACGAAGCCTAACTCCAATCTCTTTTTGTTGGAAAGAATGATTCCGTGGGTGGTAAGGTTGTTTTTGCATGTAGTCTCTTCTAATTACATCCCGTTGATTTACATGGTAAAGTTCCATACTAGGTCTTTCTCCCAGATCCGCGTGGAACGTATTTAAATCAACTTTTATGTATTTTGAAGTAAGAGTTTGTTGCTCATCGTTTCCACATGGTTTTTCATTATCATGAGATGAAGAACTTGTTTCGTTTATCTTTTAGAAAAAACATATCATTATAACTGGAATAAAAAATAATCGTCACAAAGTCATAAAAATTCAGAAATTCTAAATGTGATTATTATCTAAACAATTAATAGAAGTTTACTACTTATCTATTAATTTTAGAGATCACTGTTAACATCATAAAAGTCTAAACAAAACTATTAATTAAACATATAATATAACTATACTCCATTTAATGATGGTGGAATAAATCAAATTTAAAACCGTAAATGATGAACCATTGTATAAAGTAATTTGGTAGTATGGTAAATTTGATTTAGTACATGTAATTTGATAAAAGGTAATGGTAAATATGATTTATGCTTTTTGGGAATATGTTATTTTCTATGTCATGCTATTTTCGGTACTATAAACCACACCAACAAAGGAAGAGAGTGACAGAGTGTGCAAGTCTATAAAACAAGTAATAGAGTACCAAGTCCGTTAAACAATTTACACTACTTATAGCCTTTTTTCAGATTTCTAGTTTCACAATTTATAAAGTAAAAAATAAAGAGGGTTGAACATAGACCGATATAAAAAACGGAGAGTTTGAGACAATATATGCAGATAGGAAGATGAAGTTCTAAGCTCAGTCACCGGAGAGTGGTAGATGACTGTGTTGCCACACAACAAAAAACGTCGATGGGATTAAGAGCGGTTGAGGACGACGACAATGAGTAAAGATTATTTAATTTTTGTTTTTTTAGGGTTTATGTATTTCAGTTTTTTTTTCTTTTTTCCTCAAAGTTCTTCGCTAATTTCTTGTATTTAACGGGTTTATAAGAATATCTTTTTTTCTTTTATTTAACAAGTTTGAAAAATCAAATATAAATTAGGATATTTATAAATCAGATTTTTTCCTGCATATATATTAGCCATTAAACTAATTTTTAACAGGTGTCCGTATAAAATTTATTATATAACTTATAAAAGAATCCAAAAATAAGGGGTGTCCATGGACACGCTTGGCCTATAGGTAGGATCTCCCTTGTTTCTACCTGTAGTTTTTATGTACTCTACATAAGAAACTAAAAAAATCTAATTACCTAAAATACCTCTTCCCTAAGAAGATGCTATTTATTTTTCTAAATCACCCACAATTTGCGTGTTTATGAGAAAGCAGAAAAAAAATACATTGCTTTTTTTTTTATTTAAAGTGTGGTATTAGTAATTGTGCTAAGTAGCATTGTACTAAAGTAAGATGGTAAAAAATAGCCATTTTACCCCTAAATAGAACATATTTTGTTTCCCTATTGTAGTTTATTGAGGAATATAGAACGTTAGCGGTGGAGTATATAGTATCATACAAGGAGTCTGTGGTTTCTTGGTGTTTCTCATGGAGCAATACCATGTAAGAGATGCTTGACACAGTTATCATATTAACCATTGTTAATTTTGGTAAGTTCATTAAATCCAACATTAGTTTTCAAACTTCGACCAATTTTACAAATATATTTTGATCAATATTGTATACTATTTGTTGGGTCAAAAATATGGTTTATACTTTGCTTTTCTAGTTGATTGTAATTTTATGTAATATCGTATATGTGTTGTGAGTTTACGACCGTAAACTGAGTTTACGGCCGTAAACACGTTTACGACCGTAAACAGAGTTTACGGCCGTAAACACGTTTACGGCCGTAAACACGTTTACGACCGTAAACAGAGTTTACGGCCGTAAACTCCGTTTACGGCCGTAAACCCAAGGCCGGCCCAGTCGAGTATATATAGGGGTGAGGGGTGTGAGGAATAGATTGATGAACACTAGAGGAGCTTAAGTGTGTGCATTTGAAGGTGTTCTAGAGAGAGAAAGAGAGAGAGAAGAGAGTGTGTGTTAGTGTGTGTGAATCTTGATGAACACTAGAGGAGCTTAAGTGTGTTCATAATCAATACATACAAGATTCATATTATTCTTCTTCTCCTTCTCTTCTATTTTTGATCTGACATCATCCGTTTTATTGGGATTCCGCACCATCAAACGGATCTGATTGATATACAAGTGTGTGTTAGTTTGACTGGCTGACTAATAAGTTACTGAGAGAAAAGTTGTAAAACAGAATCATCCCGACAGTTTATTCATGATCCCACTTAGTCACTCACGTCATCCACCATTAATCACTGACCTTGCTCGAACATCTGTAGCTCTACTCTTGAGGGTAGCAGGTGGAAGTGATAGAGTGAGTGAAAACCATGCCTGAGAACCTAGGATGCGTGCTGGTGGCCATCGATGGCAGCAAAGAGAGCATGAACGCTTTAAATTGGGCAATCGATAACGTCAAGCTTCGTCCCGAGGGATCTATAATAATTATTCATGTTCAATCACCACCATCAATCGCCGTCGGTCTCAATCCCGGTGCTATCCCCTTCGGTGGCCCTAGTAGTGTGGAGGTGCCGGTGTTTACTGAAGCTATTGAGGCGCACCAGCGGCGGATTACTGATGCTATCATAAATCATGCTATGAAGATTTGCGCCGATAAGAATATGGAAGTGAAGACACATATAGTGATTGGGGATCCTAAGGAAAAAATATGTGAAGCAGTTGAGGAGTTGCATGTTGATTTGCTTGTAATGGGATGCCGCACTTTTGGTCCTATCAAGAGGATGTTTTTGGGAAGTGTAAGCAACTACTGCTCCAACCATGTGTCATGCCCTGTAATGATAGTTAAAGGCACTACTTGAAATGTCTGCTTTTGTTCAGCTTCATTGGAGGATCCTGGTCAACACAAGTCAATGTTCTTCTAATAAGCTTCCATTCTTGGCAAAAGCTATAGTATCTGGTGCCAAAATTTGGTGAGTACACTGTTCTTTGTTATATGCTTTATCTATTGTACATTATTGTTTAAGCTATGATTCTCGAGTTGTACAAATATGTATTTTATATTTTTATATAAACAAAAAAGCATTTTATGTAAATAAAAAAAAAAATTATTATTATTATTAATTAGCTTTTAATTTTTTTTTCTTTAAATTTCTAAATTGACTTTGACTTTTCAAGTTTAACCTTTGTCTTTAAACTTTGATTTTTAAATTTTCAAATTTAGATTTTCGGTTTGATTTTTTAAGTTTGGCTTTTAAGTTTGATTTTAGCTTCTAGTTGTGTTTTAATGGTTTTTGAGGTCTACAAAGACATGAAAGAGAGACAGGATATGTTAAGACAAAATTTCAACATGTTCGATTATATACCTGGAGAAACCCTGGAAGCTCAGTTGCAGGGATTTACTACACTTACTTCTGAGATGAGTATAGCTGGGATTTTCTTGACTAAATCTGAGATAAACAAAAGGCTGCTTAATGCACTTCCGAAATCGTGGGATCTGAACGTGGCTGACATCAAGAAGACAAAAAATCTCAATCGTCTTAGTCTTGCAGATATAATTGAAGAACTTGACGCTTTGAATTGTCGAAAAACAATGAGTTCCGCAAACCCTCCGGTCAATGAAGTTTCATGTTCTCAATCATGTGAAGTTTAATGTGAAGATACGATTAAATTTCTTCGGGAACATAATGATTTATTAAAAAGAGAAGTTGAGGACCTGAGATATGAAGGTTATCAACTCAGGAAAGGACAGAAACCCCTAAAGGCCCAGTTAGAAACAAAAATAAAGGACTTTAAGAAGCTTCAGGAAGAATTCAGCAACAAGTGTGAAAATTATGACTATATTAAGAGACAACTTGATGCTGTAACCGAAGAACTTGACGCCTTGAAAATTATGTGTGGAAAAACTGATGTTAGTTTCAAAAATTATACTGCGTCAAGTAAGACAGTCGACTCCTTATTTGAAACCCAATTAAAATTCAAAGATAATCAAAACAAGGGTCTAGGGTATGATAGTGTTCCTCCACCTTTCAATCATAACTACACATCCATCCCTTCGACACAGGAAGAAATTGACAGGGAGGCACATCTTCAATATGACAAACCAGCTGGTTTTGTATCAGGAGGCATTATTAATGTTGATAATCCTGATGCTCCTGATGTTTCTGTTACATATGCAGGTAAAGTAGTAGAGGATGAGAACAAGGAGAACACCATTGAACAAACCAACATCTCCTTGAACTCCGAATCGGTTGCTTCAAACTCAGTTGCTTCTGATCAACCTGCTGTTCAGAAATACAGGCCACCAATTCCAGTGAAACAGAGTGCCTGTTGTAACTGTGCGTGTGGGAAAAGCAAGAGACAAGGCAAGGATACGCCACCAGGGGCAGGAAGAAACAACTTCACAGTGAAGAAAAAGACATGTTTTCACTATGGAACACCTGGACACATTGCCAGAAACTGTCCAAATCGCGCATACGTTCCTTACTACGCACAAGGCTGGCAGAACGCGCCAAGAGGGAGATACTCCAAAAGAAACCCCTCAAGGTCACGTTCAGACCATGATGACTGGAACGCGCAGAAGGTCAAGAATCAAACCCACAAGGCCAAAAATCCAACTCCCAAGGGAAATAAGGGAATGCCGGCCAAGAAGCCAAATCCAAGAGATGCTCCCGTGAAGTCAAAATCAAAGTCATCTCAACGACCGACATCAAGTTCAAAAGCAAGTACTGAGCCACCCATCAGATCGAAAAAAAAATGGGTTAAACCCAACTACAAATGGGTTTCAAAGGCTCACTCTCCCAAATCAACTAATGACTCTAATATTTCTTCATCTTCTGTTTGTGATAAACAGGATATGTCATGGGAGAGAGTACCGTGCAAGGATGACAAAGGTCGACCCAGTTTCAAAATGGACTGGGTTCCAAAGACCAACTGATCCCGCTCTGTGTCGGAGCAGCTATGGAGGCATATCATCAGACTTCGGTTTGTTGGTAGTGGCTGTTCCTGGCACATGATAGGAGACATCTCTCAACTGTATAACACTCAGAACATTGTCTGGGAGTATGTGTCCTTTGCGGGAAAGGAAGAAAAGAAGGGATCACACATGGGGTTAGTGCTTAATGACGTGAAGAATTTTCGGATCTGTTCTGAGATTATGCGTGCTGTTCTCAGACCTTCTGGATGCAAATTCAATCGGTGACTTACGGTTTGAGTTTTCTTCTCTATACTCCTGAGTTTTTCTTAAGCTGATTCGCTTTAAAGACTAATTTTTGTTTTAGGATAGTTTAAATTTGCGCATTTACTTTCGTTTCTCTCCTATGCACAAATTTAGGGGGAGAAATAAAAACAAAAAAAAAATTAGAAAGTTTTAAACAAAATCCAAAAACATTAGAAAATCCAAAAATCCAAAAATATATGTTGGTTAATGAAATGAGTTTGAGTGAGATGTTTTGGGAAGTGATATTATCAAGTGATAACAGGCAATCTGAGTCTGCGTAACGTACCCAAAGTTGAAGGGTCTATGCTCTGGGTTTGATGCGCTGGTAGGCACGAAAGATTCTAAATGGACTTGACTAGGCAGAGTTGAACTTAAGAAATTCATAGACTTGACAAATTTTGACCTAGTTAAATCCGTTTAGCCTGACAATACGACGCTTGGATAGGTTGAGCAGGGGAGATATATATGGGAATCTACTCGTCACATTAAATGAACACGTACTTGGAACCGTGGATTAACTTTTCCTCGATGTGCGGATTTTGTCCTTAATTCTGGTATTGATGGGGCGACTGGGGAATTCCGATAAAGTAGGTCTGTAGAAAATTATTTTCTTTCTTTCTTACTGTTAGTCATATGTTGTCTCCTTTACCTGATTGGAAGAGATCCGACCTGGACTGCAACATATGCAAATCTATCTCTCTGCATATTATATCTATGAAATTCCTCCTATCTGTTAGCCATATGCTGTCTCCTTTGCGTGACTCACAATCCGACCTGGTACACATCATATGCAACCTTCTACTTCTCAATCCCTCTAAAATTATAATTAACAATAATCTGAATCTATCTTCTCTCTTAATGATTGTCTGCTCACCCGATGTAAGGAGTACTCTGGAAGTTCTTGATTACTGGGGCATATCAGGAAGCGGGAAACATGTTCCGGTACAATTAAAATTGAACACTCAAAGATTGTCTATAGATCTCGCTGCTCAATTTAGGTGGACAACAATATCCCTGGTCGTCGTCAACTGAATGGTCCTTAAGATATAGTATCTAGGAACTTAGGATCAGATTTAATATCTAGGAACTTAGGTTCACCTTGTCTTATAACAAATAGTATGTCCTAAATCTGTCACAATTTTTCTTGTTTAAGTGGACCACAATACCGGCGATCGACCAGACAAAGACATGAAGATAAAAGGTACCGAAAAGTGGATAAAGGCTGTCTAAAAACTTTGATCCCAAATCATTCTTAAAGTTAGATATCATTTTATTTTTGTTAAATTTGTTCAAAGTTTTTTCTAATTTAAATATTAGGGGAGAATTAAGAATTTTGAAAACCAAACAAAAATCAAAAAAAATTAAAAAGCCAAAAAATAGTGTTATTTCTGTTTTATTTCTTTTTCAGAAAATATGAAAAATCCAAAAATATTGTGTGCTAAATTTTTCTTTTAGTTTTGTTTTGTCTTGAAAAGTGATTTCAGGTATAGATAAGACTCATGGAGTTTGTGTTGAAAATTTCTGAGCGAAAGCCTCGTACGTTAGTATCGAAGAATTCTCATTCGAAGGAGCAAGAAATGAAGATTATTCTTTCGACATTCAATCTTTCAACTCCAGAAGCAAGGTGAAGCTGCACTTGAAGATAATGTGTCGGATTGCATTGAAGCCTCCTCAATCAGTCTGCTGCTATCTTGTACCTGCTGAAGTGATCCAAAAGATTTGTTCTCTCTGATGTTCTCTCTGAAGATTCTCAAGCTGAAAGCGCTATTTTTCAAGAATCAGTACGTCAAGCCTCCTCACCCAATGTGCGTTCAATGCCAAATTCTGAAGAAAAGCCCAACTGCTCAAGATGAAGTCATTCATTGAAGATTCATCAAGTTCATCTTGAAGTCGTGAAGAATTTGAAGATTAAAACTGAAGCCAAGCTCCCAATGAAGATTATGAAGAAAAGCCAGCTAATTTTTAGGGGGAGCTTGTTGGGTCAATTAAGAAAAGAAAAGAAAGCTATAAACCAAAGGAGAGATTGTTGGGTCAAAAATATGGTTTATACTTTGCTTTTCTAGTTGATTGTAATTTTATGTAATATCGTATATGTGTTGTGAGTTTACGACCGTAAACTGAGTTTACGGCCGTAAACACGTTTACGACCGTAAACAGAGTTTACGGCCGTCAACTCCGTTTACGGCCGTAAACCCAAGGCCGGCCCAGTCGAGTATATATAGGGGTGAGGGGTGTGAGGAATAGATTGATGAACAGTAGAGGAGCTTAAGTGTGTGCATTTGAAGGTGTTCTAGAGAGAGAAAGAGAGAGAGAAGAGAGTGTGTGTTAGTGTGTGTGAATCTTGTATCCGGATCTTCATTCATAATCAATACATACAAGATTCATATTATTATTCTTCTCCTTCTCTTCTATTTTTGATCTGACATCATCCGTTTGATTGGGATTCCGCACCATCAAACGGATCTGATTGATACACAAGCAGATTAGGGACTTATACTATTTTATTCTGGCAATTAATGATCGACCATAATGGATATTTACCAACAAACTTGATCACCGGGAATCAATCTTCCATTGGAAGTTTGTGGATGTGTTATGTTTCTTGCATGCTTATCAAAATTCATTAAACTGTCGTTTACATGTTCTAAAACTCACATTGCGTTAAAACAAAAAAAGGAATCCAAATATACTTTAAATGCAAATTCGTGATAAGTATAGCACAATGTGCAAATATCAAAACACCGAGTGTGAGTAATCCAATAATCATCCAAATAAACTTTCCGACAGAACTTTCACAAAACCAAATCTTTTTCGTTCAACCTTCTTAGAATTATAGATTTTAACTCGAGGGAATGTAAAACGATAAATATATGTACAATTTTACCTTATGTACATTATTAACATCAGTTTCTTCACAAAATTTAATTTTAAAATAAATATAATTGTCGGTATACATTATTATTATGATTTCATTTAACATAATTAAAATGTATCTTTTCGTGAAACCATTAATTTTGTAGCCAAACATTATAATAAGTGTGTGCTAATTACACCCTTTCATGTTGAAAGGCTAAAAAATGAATATGGTATACTCAACCGGGAATAATCACAATATCAAATGATAGAAGATAATTCTCACTTAAACACGAAAGAAAAATGTTTCAAGTGTTTTTGAAAAAAATATAAATAAAGATAGTGTGGCCATTTACAAATAAGAACTGTTAAAAAAAATAGTTATTTATAGTAATGAGTACTATGGCCATTTACAAATAATTAAGAGCTGTTAAAAAAAACTACAAATAAAAAATCAGGTACAACTTTATTCATCAAGCAACAAAAGTGTCATTTTGCGTAATGGTTGGGCTGTATGTGATGATATGTACAATTTTAGGGGGAGGTTGATGCAAATCACCATCGCTTGAGATCAGGGTTAGGGTTGACGCCCACCCTTTTCTTACTATATATATTAGATGTTCAGTTTCATTTTCATACGATTTCACAGCCGCTGTCTTAATTAACCCTGTGAATCTAGATCGAGCATTCACAGCAATATATTTTTTCTATATCTTCAAACTATTCAACTACTGGCATAGGAGGATATGGATATCTGAATATCATGGATTCTTTTGATAGCAAAGATCCGCAATATTTTAAAACAAAAAAACATGTAAGTTAACTGATACGTTAATTTATACCATTCTGAAGCATGTGTTTTGAAGCAGTTTTGTCCTTTTTTTTGATGTTTAGAAGTTTATGTTGTTCGCCTGTCACTCACTCTATTGCTTGATCTGTTGTCAGTCTAGTAGAATCAGATCGGTACCAGTTAGGTGTTCATAGCATTTCAGGAGTCGGTTTTGTGGGTTTGTCCTGAGGCCACTGCACCTTACCCTTTCAGAGGTAAGTTTATAAGACGTTTTCTTTTGTAATTGTTTTGATGCCAATAAAATTTTAATGCTCAACTTTCCAATTTATGCTATATCATGTAACGATTAAGTATGGTCTAAATCTGACATCTTGTTCCATTCTTACTGAATGATGTTTGGAGATGATGGCGATCTTGACGGAAATTGCAGATCTGATCACTAGATCTTGACATGCTTATTCCTTAAAATATCAATAAATTTGGTCCCTTTAGTATACTGCTTGTTTTAGTTTTGGTCCAAAGTTAAAATGGTCATTAAAAAAAAATCCAGTTATGCTGTGTTTTCATTTCTGATTGTTACATTTATCCTCCTTGCAGTGTGAAAGGGAATACCATATAGGGTGTTTGAGGGCACATAAGAAGATGGATCTGAAGGTTTGTTAATTTGAATCTCAATTTGCTCAAATTTATAACGTTTTTCACTTGATTTAATATGAGATTGTTGATCTGAAGGTGTGCTTTCATTTTGGAGGAATCAGAATCGGAATCACCAATTCTGATGTGAAGTGGATTGTTTTCCTTGGGAAAGATGTTTCTGATGACAACAAAGCGTTGCTTTCACAAGCGGTTGATATCTTCAGTCATTTTCATAATAAAAAATAACTTATATTATATATGCGTGGTTTTGGTATAGTTGAGTGAATACAGACAAACATTGACATCAATGGTGACGTTCTAAGTAACATCTTTGTTAGAAATGGAGGTGGTGGGTCCTCAAGGTGGAATTACTTTTCATGATGATTTTCGTTTTAGTCTTTGCATTGAGAAGTAAAGTAAACAATGAATGAATGATTAATGAATACCTTTTGGTGGATTTATATTTGTTGGTTTTAAAATATAGATTTGATGTGTTTCAAGATTTTTCTTTGTTGAATATGTAATTATTGCTAATTTTTTTATGAATTTATATATATTCTTTTATAATGCCAAAGTTTGCCGCTAACCTGTCACATAAAATCTATCGGCTGTTAGCGAGTTATTCCGTCGGTAATTTTTAGCAAAAAAGTGTATTCGTCGGTGATCGGTTAGTAATTATCGATGAAAAAATCCATTGCTAAAATTTGTTGTAGCCGTCGGATATACATTACATATATGATATGCCTTTTTGGGAATGAAAGGTTATAACCTTTTTTCCATGTCTAGTTGAAAGGATACACCTGTCTAATTCCGTAGATTGTTCCGAGTAAAATAAACTCACTTTTCTATAACCATACCAAAGTAGATTAAAAAACTTTTTATGTACAGAATAATAATAAATAACTTTAAAGGTGATAATATACCTTTAATGGCTCGATGATATCACAAACATTTTTTATTTCATAATCATCTTTAAACTTATCATTATAATAAAGGTGTAAGAATCAGAATTACAATTATACTACTTTCAGACTTTTTATCTCCATGAAAATAAGAAGGGGAACACGATCAAGAGTTATGCATCAAACGAAAAGATTGTAATAATCAAACTAACTTTTTCTTGTACTCGTTAATCTCAAAAAGGTATGCATTAATAAACAGTCATCCAGATAAAATGAAACTCCTCCATGACCAGTAAAAAAAATCAAATAAAAAACTCTTTTTCTTTACGAAGTAAATATTACACTAATAGCACAAACCAATCCAAACGTTGAGTGTAGCAAACGGGGTAATTAAAATAAAAGAGTTTTTTTTTTCGTCATAAAATTTGGTAGTTGATGAACTTGAACTCCAAACAAAGTAACCTTAAGCAATGTACCACTACAATAAAAAAGTAATTACTTTAAAACAGCAAACAACGTATACATGAGAAATATCACATAACAAAGGTTGGAGTGTAACGTCCCAAAGATTTAAGATGAAAATTTTCGATTTTTAAATTAATTAAAACCGTTATCCAAACAACATCATAAAAAACATGGTGAATCAAAGTGTATTGATAACATCCATGCACATCAGACTAATATAAAAACGCAGCATGATGTGGTGTGTGCACTACAATCATCTTGGGTTCTTCCACTTCGAAGTAGAAATACCTGAAACATAAATTTAAAACTGTAAATACAAACCTTAGTGAGTTCCCCAAAATACAACATACCATACATATCAAACATATAACAGGCCTCGTCCGTCATCGGGCCTCGCCTGACATCAGGCCCCACCCTACATCGAGCTTCGCCCAGTATACGAATCTATCAGTCATGAGGCCCCACCTGGCATCGGGCCCATCCCATATACATATAAACAAATAAACGTATAATCATATAAACACATGCATTAATCACAAAGATAAATAACATACATGATAGTCATGGGGCCCGCCCGGTAAACATATAAACACATAACACGTGCAAGCGTCATGAAGACAACTAGCATCCTAACATATCAAACCATGGGCTGACATTGGTGCCTTCGGCCCGCAAAACATGGTGAGGAAACTCACATTTAGCTGTTGAATCTCTCAAACAAATCTCGGTCTGTTGGATCTGAAGATCCCCGCACAAACATCATCAAATAATATCCAATTAAAATTTGGATCTAGACCCATATTCAAGAATCAAAGCTACTTGACCAATTTCCAGGGTAAAAGACCTTTTTACCCTTTTCCTTACTTGGCCCAAAACCAAGGCCCAACCCAACTACTCAAGAGGCCCAAATTCCTTAAATGGCATCACAAGGCCTCATAAGGCTCAACTTCCGAATTAGGCCCAAAAAGCATTATTAACCTAATCCTAAGAAAGTCCATAGTCTGTCTGCGTCCCAAAGTTAGAAGTCCAATGGCCCAACATGGCCTAAATCAAGCCAAAAATATGGCCCAAACCTGAGGAGGTCAAACTGAAAGTCAATCTGCTAAGTACGTGGGGGGTACTGAGCTCGTACGCTTAGTGTACTATGTAACACCCCGTTTATTAAATAAATAAATAAATAGATTAATGAATGTATAGTAGCCCTAAAATCAATAATTATATAGCAAGTTGTTGGTATCGAGGAGCTAATTGTTATAATCTGGATTATTCGGGGTCAGAGTGTAGATTCGAGATTTATTTTGTAAAGATTTTTAGAAGACAGGGGGTGTTTGGTAAGTATGGGGCTTGATGTGAAAGGATTTATGGAAGCAGGAGCTAAAGAGTAAATTATGGACTTCATTTGAAAATAATTGTAGATGGAGGGGTTGCTCAATAAAATGTTGGACTTAATTTGAAGGGATTTTAAATGTCTGGGGTTAGAAGGGTAACTTATGGACTCTTTTTTAAAGAAAAGGAGGAAGGAGGGACCTAATATGTTATTATGGGATAGATTTATACGGGGCTCGGGGTATATAAGACCCGTCACCCAGGTAAACCTAACCCTAACTCAAGGGTGCAGCCGTCATCATCGGAAGTCCTCCAGCCGCCACCTTCTCGTAACTGACCACCACTCGACCATCGGCATTCTAGCCGTCGTACGCCACCGTAGTGTTGATGCCAGACGTTTTGGGCCGCCGAACGAACCACCGAGACGATCGTCGGTACTGCCCTAGTTGTCTTCGCCTCCGACTTCATCCCATAACGGTTAGTCGCAGCCGATGCCTCCGTGTTGTTTCAAGCTACCAGCAAAGCGGTGAAATGAATGGATCGACCGCCGACTGCTGCCTTGCCATTGAAGCACCTTTCGTTTTAGTTCGTGGGTTGCCGTTCCACCGCCTTTGTCTCCGATTGTCATGCGTCACCGCAAGGGTGGCGGTGGTTAGATGAATTTTCGGCGTGCACTCGCAAGGGTGGCAGTGGTTAGATGAATTTCCGGTTCTCGCGTGTGTTGACCTGTCATCGGGCAAAAGAGCAAGAGAAATCGCCGGCACCACCGTGAGGTGGTGGTTGTCATCGCAAAATCACTGCCGCTGCCGCCTCTCCATGGTTCCGCCGTCGCCAAATGGCACCAGGTGGGCGGCTGTGTTACTGTTCCGAGCATAGAGTGTGGTTGTGTGTTATTTCAGTGATGTGGGGTTGGGTTTGTGTGGCTGGAAAACCAAGAAGGGCACCACCACCACCGTGAGGTGGTGGCTGCCACCATATGCCACCGCCGCCCACCACTAGGGTGGTTGTGTGTGTATGTGTTTATTTTAGTCTGTTTGTGTTTAATTGGGTTTTTGTGTTGTAAATTGTATTTGGTAAAGGAATAATAAAAAGAAAAACTCATAACCACCACCGTGAGGGGGTGGCTTCCGCCACTAGCCGCCGTGTTGGGTGACGGTGTGCTTTGTTTGTGTTTGGATTGCTTTTAGAGTGCTTAGACATGATTTGACTAGGACCATAACCACCACCGTGAGTCGCCGTGGACCACCACTACCCGAGGTGGTAGTGGGTGGTGCCTGACTTATGAAACCCTAATGTGCCTTATGAGACTCTAGTGGGCCTAATGAAGCCCTAATTGATCTAAGGACTTAGTTTTGGGCCTATTGGGCTATTATTCGGTTGAAAACCCTAATTAGGGTTTTGAAAACCCTAATTTTGGATATATTGGCCTTGGACTTATCGGGACCCACATTTGGGCCATTGGAATGGAATTGTGAATTACACCCAATTACACCATATGATTTATCTAGTAGCGTGATGGACTTAATGGATTAAGTCCTTAATGGGTTAAGTGAGAAACACTTAACCCTAATCGTCATTTTATGTGAAAACCCTAGTTTCACTTGGGCCTGGAGTTGGGCCTTTCTATTGGGCTTTGGTGATTGAGCTACTGATGGGCCATCCAAGAACAAGCATATGGACTAGAATATTTGGATTGGGCTTTAGGATAAGGCCCATTGGACAGGCTTGGGCCTAATTGGGAAAATTGGGCCATAGATGGGCCATAACTGGGCCTTGCTGATTATGAGATATTGGACCATGGTAATGTCAAGTGTTGGACCAAGAATAAATAGTCCTGCATCCGCGCCCCTTTTCACCTGCTTACTAGATCCCTGAGAATACAAGTCGTTTTGAAAAAGCGTCAACTAAAAAGTTGGTGAGTTCATAAGCATTTTTGTATAGAATAGTTTCACACTTGTTTAGAATCGTTCTCCTTGTACTTTCAGAAAATCTGATATTTTCTATGACATCGTTTGAAGTCTTGCTTTGAAAAGTATGGATATATGCGTGCATGACGTTGCTTTTGTTTATCCTTATAAGGAGTGATTTTGAAAAGTAGTCTAATTTGTAAAGGCGAGCTGTGTTCGAGAATAGTTCTTTTGAGTAGTAATTACCAATAGTTTCCAGAAAATCCCCTATTTTCAAAAAGAATATAGTTGTAAATCTTTTTTTCTTATCGGGTATAATTGAAAGTGCGTTCTAGTTTATCGTTATCGAAATCGTATAAAATCGTTTTCCCCAGAAAGTCCTATATTTTCTGTTATAAAATATTCATAAATTCTGTTTCCAACTGTGTATACTTGCATATGTGTGTGTTAATTTATCGTTTTCAAAATCGTTTACAAACGTTTTCCCCAGAAATCCTATGTTTTCTTATTAGTAAAAGAGCAGGGTTAAGACTCTAATACTTGTTTGGTGAAAGAAATCAACATGGCGGTTGTGGACAGTCTACGCAATGAAAAAAGGACAGTCAACACAACAAATGCAGACCGTCACTACCATGCGTGGGACCGTCAACACAACGTGCGAAAATTTATTTATGAGGTTTTCCTTGGATAAATTTCAAGATAACATAACACATTCTAGTGAGTCGTTATTACCATACTAATATAACCGAGACCTGTTTTGGCGTTTCTCAGCCGCCCTTGTTTTGTTCCAAGACATTTGTCACCCTAGTCTGCCCGGTCTAGCTGTAGCGAACAACGAAGGTGCGGGGTGTCAACCCC